CTTCTGTTACTTCTGAAGAAAATGTCCTGATATCTGGGTTGGCAGATAGTATTTTTCACATGCTTTGTTTTGTACCATAAAAATGGGCAATTCATTAGATATAGATTGAACTGTCTGAGGAAGAGGGTATCTGCTTGACTACAAAAATGCCTGGGAGTTATGAGCAAAGAAACTGTTTCCTACAGCTGGTTTCCCAATGGTCAATGAGCAAAAAGAATATGCTTTTATTCTAAGGGCCTTAAGAGTACTTACCACCATTTCTGTGTGAGGAAATAATGGATTTAACAGCTCCTAAGGAGTAAAGATATGCACTTGACGTTCACTAAGGTTTAGTAAGGGCAAGAATACAAATACATTTGTTGCATATTCTGAATCCATGACTATAAGTGCTGTTATTGCTGAAAGACTATATTTCTCTTTGAGGGAGCTTCTAAGGTCAGAAGTGTCACCTACCAGCTTGTAGGAAAAATAATATAAAAACAGTGAAAAGAAATAGTTTGTCAGCCTCAGTCCTCATGCTCTTCAGAATGGCACGAAACTGGAGTCATGTGTAGAAGTGACTCAAATTTGTGAGCACAAGGGAGAGCGAAGCAGGCAGGGGAAGCTTAATTGCATGCCACATAATCAGTTCTTAGTTTAGGATAATTATTTAATCAAAGACAAAACCAACATATTTCACATTTCCCACAATAAAAAGTTCATTTTAAAAGAATGAGACAATCTTATATTTACTATAGTCATAGCTTTTTCACAGGGTCTGTGGGCACCTTTGGGATTCCAAGTGAACATGCCTTCATGAGACAAACAGCTGCTTGCTGTAACTGTTATCGCTGCACTTTTCAGACCTCGGAAAGGACAGCTTTAGGGATTTCAAAAGCCCCAGGCTCAGCAGAGATTCCACGGTTAAATTTGTGAAGTGAGACATCTGACAGACTATAAACTCAATTTTACTTCACAGAAGCTAAGATCACGAATCTAATCCTGTGTCTCTTGAATCAGCGATGATTAATGAGTTTCAAGCCCTTTAAAATATGTGAAGGCCAGTAGTTCAGAAAGTAAATGCTTCATCTAGCTGGCATAGAAAAGAAGCAAAACCTCGTTGCATAGTGACATGACCAAGGTACTGTCCAGCTGTGCTATTGTAGTGCTTCGTGCTAGAGGAAGAGTTACCAGGTTCAATGGGGATATGAGAATTTAAAACATTTCCGTTCACAGCAGCAGTTCACTGCTGTCATTGTAAAGAGAAGTGGATTCCCCGAGGCAGCCTAGAGAGCATTTCTGCATCAAATGTTGCCTATGTGCATGTAAGTAAGTATCCCTTGGAGCAGCAAGCTGAGCAATGTACCAAGGAATGACAAATAATAACTCAATACGCAGAGAAATGACTGCTGGGAACTCTTACTCAAAGCCAGAAGAGTTCTGGCTGGGGCTGTAGGGCAAAGCAGTCTCCATTTTGACAGATACGGTGTATGTGTTAAGCAAGAAAAAAGTGGCTTTAAGAGTCTCAAGTCTTGGACTTGAAACTCCCAAGAGCAGGAGTCTGAGAATTTAGTATATTCCATGCTTAAGGATGGGAGCATTCTCTTTTCTTGCTTCTAGCACCACTAATCTGCCATCTTGCAACTGATTAATCATATTTAGCTGGTCTAGTAATGTAAAATGTATTTATTTTTTGTTCTTCTTGAAATGAATTAATGCCCGTAGGGAGGCAAACGGACATTTTTTGCATATATTGAGCCTCCAGAGCTATACATTACATTTGCTTCATTACAAAGTCTGTGCTTTCCGGTTAGGAAAAAAAAAGCAAAAATGGAATAGAAGGAAATGGACAGGAGAACTTTGGACCATTGAACACAAAAGCAGAATAGACAGTGAAGGCTGCTTGGGCCTAGTGAAGGATGAAGAGATCTTTGCCACTATTCATTACCTCAGCCACCCTTCAGAAAATCAAAAGAGGTTTTCTTGCTTGAGTTAGCTGTTTTATTTTGTTAATGCGCTAGCTGTTTAGTGCACCAGTTTTCATGAGCAGCCTTGGAAAACAATCTCTTGAACACTAGCAATTTGCTAGAATTGCCCTCTCTCTTTGAACTGATATCTGTGGGCAGAGAAAACCAGAGATGCATGGAAAGGAGAGGGAGTTCCTGCCCTCCCACATCCCTCCAGCCTTTCCAGGGCACGTGCTCTGCG